GACCCATGTATCTGGGTCTATGCAACTTCCAGGAGGTAGTTCACTAATAGCAACGCTTTCAATGTTAATACATAGGAAACAGTTAGGTTTCAAATGAAGATTTCCACAAGTTATTATTTTTTTTCTTGCTAGTACTAAGGTTTGAACTCGGGGCTTTATACTTTTGACGTGCTTGTCTTGCTGATGCTCTACCTCTTGATCCATGTTTCCAGCCCAGCTTTTGCTACTTATTTTTGGGAATGGAATTTCACAACTTTTCTGCCTGGCTTTGAACCTTGATCCTTTGGATCTTAGTCTAGTAGGTAGTTAGGGTTATAGGAGTAAGCCATTGGTGCCTGGCTGATATAAGCAAGTTTTGATTCTACTGCCTGTTTCCAATTTCATAAACGAAGAGATTTTGTTTAATAGGAAAAGCATTTCACAAACATTTCATTTCATAAAAAAATGGCCAAAGTTTATTTTCTCTGTTTTACCATCAGACCTACACATCAGAACTCAATCCTTTGTTTTATTTTGAATTTTATGTTAAGGTCTGTAGTGTATAGTGTATGTTTTTGGAGTTACAAATAACTTTTGGACAACATATGGATTTCTGACGTGACCTGTAAGAAAATTATCCCTCTAACACATGCCTTTCTGTGAAATAAGATGAATAGTACTGTTCTTCTCATCTATAAGGCCTCATATATCAGGATGGGAAATGGCTATAAGTCAGTGCTACCTTTGCCAGGGTGTGGTCTTGGTTAAGTTCCATGCTCCCACCCACTCTTCCCTTCCCTTCCCCCAACAGGTCTGGGTGTTCTATATGTAGTTAGTCAATGTGAGTTTTGTTCATCTGTGGAGTCAGCGGTCTTTGTCACTTCCTGTTCTGTTGTGCCCTGCTGAGCATCTCATGATCTCAGGAGAGTGGAAGCTGGCATTGAACAGCTTCTACTGAACAAAGGATGACTAGTTTGCTCTGCTGTAACTTAGATCCCTTTCCCTTCTCTGTTGTCAGGATTAGAACTCTTCCTACTTCCTCCCTCTCCTTTCTTGAAATAACACTTCCTTTCCCCAGTATGGCCAAGATATGTTCAAGCTAATCACGTTGGGTGTGTCATTGTTTGCACACGTGCTGGGCCGCTGGGAAGGCAAGCTGGTGAAACCACACAAATGGCTTGTGGTCTAGAATTAGTCACCACCTTCAGCATCTCAACATTGTAGTACATTGTAAACTGACAGCGCCCTTCCTCTCTCCTTTATGTGCCTCTCTGCATCTGCCCCTATTGGGCTTTGTAGCCCAACAGGCCTTTATTTACACAAGAAAGTGCAGGTTTCTCATGTTCTCTAAGTTGGAGCATGGATAGCACACCTTAACATACTAGCTAAGAAGTCACATAAAATGGAGCTTGAAAGGCTCTTCCTGACTCTTCATTTCCCCAAGAGAAATTATTTTCTAGTCTAACCTATATTAAGAGCTTGCTATATACCAGGTACTATACTGGATGCTTTTCATAACCGAATTTAGCCTTCTTTTTGCATAGGAGTAAAAGAACTTTTAGAAAGGTTAGTCAACATGTCCATACCGACACAGCTCATAAGGAAGTAGGACTTGAATTCAAGAAGTCTGGTCTAAGGTTTCTGGTTCCTATAATGGTTTCTTATCCCAGTTCAAAGCACTGAATTCCCTCTACATTTTATCCTACCTGTGAGCACATCAATGCTTAAAGACAGCTTTGAAAAACACCATGCAGACATGAATGAGAGTAATTTGGTGTAGACACCCTGGGGCTAAAAGTGAGTTGGCACACAGATCTCCTGACCAGGGAGAGATGTGTTCAGCTGATAACACAGGAACCCATGCGCTAATAGAGGAACACAAGCACCTCTATGTCCACTCTTCTTCTGGGGTAGGAGTGATGGTGGCTGTACTTTTCTCCCTGAGTTGGCCATTCCAGCTCACCTAGGTACATTAACGATGGCTAGTAAGGAGAATGGAGTTCCTTGTGAGACTGAGCCATCCTACTCAAGTGGTAAACCACATATCTAGCAAACAACACATTGCTGTGTTAAATTCCTTGCTGGACATCTGTCTTACAGTCTTCCTACAGTGAGTGGATGGACACCTAGTGAGAGCTCTGTGGAGAGAAGGCTGTTGCTGTGTGGGCTTTTCTAGAGCTGAATTTTCTGATGGCCTTTCTGAGTACGTGCAGTCAACTTCCCCCATGGGTCATGAGTTTTTCCAGGACCCACAGTAAGCCACCCTGAAGAACAAAGGAAGTTCTTGGTGTATTAGTAAATGCCAATTTCAGAACTCTTTTCAGAGTTCCTAAATTAAAGATTCCAGGACCGAATCTCATGACTGACACGCTGGATGGTACTAATTTTCTTATGGAGGCACTACTGGATTGGGGCTCAGGATGGCTGCCTCCCTTACAACCATATTAAGGACAATGGTGTTCGGGTCAGGTAGGTTGTAGTGCAGTGTGTCGTCACCAGAGTTCTCAATTATCTGAGTCAAGGTCAGAGGGATACAGAGCTGTGGAGAAGCTGGAAGGCAGTTGGGTAAGATGTGCTGGTGTGATGGATGGAAGCCTTGATCATAAAATACTCCTGTCACTCCTCCTTTCCCTTCCCCCTTAGTGCTGTGTATACTTCCTGACTTAGTGATTTTGGATTTGGCCATGTGTGCCGTGTTGGCCAGTGAAATGTACAGATAGGATAGAAGCAGAACCTTGAAATACACTTGTGTGGTTCTTGTTTCTTATACTCCTTTAATTCCTATTGAGAAGATATTCCCCAGGTTGCCACAGCCTTTTCAGCTTGGTCATTAAATATTAGTTGGGGCTAGGCTTACTTTGAGATGAGCATTGAAGATCTAAGCACAGATAATTTGCAATTCAGAGGGTGGTCTAGGTTGGAAATCTACACTGGGGTCATGGTATATACATGTTAACCCAGGTTTTGAGGTAGACAAGCTCAACAACATGTAAAGAGAGATAAAAAGAAATCCACTGAGTTTTGATTTCCTCCCATATTTTTCAGCTCAGAGAGATAAGAAGGAATTAGCAAAGAACCAGAAACAGGTTAGCCCAAAAATTAGATAACTAAGTGAGGCGCTGTTCCTGAGAGCCAGGTAGAATGCAGAAGTTGGGATAGTGATCAAATGTGTCCAGTCATGCTGATAGGTCAACTAGATGAGGATAGAGAACTCATCTTTTGGTCTAAAGCTATTCTGTTGAGCCATGGGGACAAAACTATCAACAGAAGTAATTCAGGAGAGACATTTGCAAGTATTGATAGCTCAGAATTGAAGGAGAATGGTCAGAAATGAAGAAGAGAAAATGAGGTGATAACCAAACAAGGAATGACATCAAGAGATTTTTTTTTTTTTTTGTCGGTCGTGGGGCTTGAACTTTGGGTTTAGGCACTGTCCCTGAAAGAGGTGTTTTTTTTTTTTTTAAGATGAGATAAAACATAATCACCTGGATGGTAAATCATAGATGGCAAACATCCAGGAGAGAGAACACAGTGATATGTAGTAGGGGATGGGGAATGAGGAAAGTTGCTTCATCTACTTTAACTGGGGGTCAACCAAGCAGGCAAGTAGGTGAGAGGCTCTAACAGGGGAACATGCAGACATTCTCTCTCTTCCAGTTGCAGCAGTTTTCTTAATGAAGCAGGAAGTCAGGTACCCAACAGAAAGTGAGAAAGTAGGAGGTGACGAACGAAGTATTACAGAGCCATCTATGGCAATGGAGTGAATGAAGGGGCCCAGGCGAAGGAGCTTGCTGCTGTGATTGTACTGAGCACATTGTACCACTATCTAATAAAGCCTCACAACACCGCTATGACCTAGCCTTTATTATTTGCCCTATTTACAGATGAGGAAATTGAATTGCAAAGTGGTCCAGAAGCACAGCAAGAAGTAGCAAAGCTAGGATATGAACATTGGTAATCTGATTTCAGGGTTCCAATGTTTAACCACTGTATTAAACTTTCCTCGTTAAACATGGAAAAGTCTGTCCCAGGACTGATCTATATAGAATGAAGCTTGAATTAATGTTTGCAATATACACTCTGGTTACAGCATCACCATGCAGCATGGTGATTTTCAACTTCATTTTTCTGATGGGGTCCAGAAAGAGTCAGTTGCTTGTTAAAAGTCATCCAAATAATTATGTGGTTAAAAGCGTAATTGTCCTCAAGCTTAAAAGAAATTGTAGACATAGGAAGGGGAAAACCTGAGTTGGTATACAAACATACACAATTCTGAAGAATCATCATGACATTTGTATGGGTCAGCCCAGTTGAAATTGATAGATAACCTTAACACATTAAAAAAAAAAAAAAACTTCCTGCCTCAGTCTAGAATCACTTTGAACCTTTATCCTGTAGAGAGCTGATAATGTGTTCCTTACAGAGGAAGAATTTAAAGAAAATAATTTTGTTGGTATTGCCTACTATCTTCCTGACCTTTTTTTTTTTTATGATGCTTTAATCCTTGAGATGAAGAGGACAGAACAAAACCTCTAAGTAAGAATCTTGAATTTTTTTTTTATCCTTTCTATTAACTCTGAATTTTTCCCTTTTTTTTTAGTTTTTTAATTTTTTTTTCTGTTTTTTTTTAATTTAATTTAATTTTTTTTGTGCACATACTGTACAGAGGGGTTACAATTACATGGGCAGGATAATGCATACATTTCTTATCAAGCATTGCAGCCTCCTCCTTTGTTTACCCTTCACATCCCTTCCCTACCTCCCCCCTACCCCCTCTACCCAATCCTCTCCTCTCCCCCCCCCCAGAATCTTGAATTTTATTTTAATCAAAACTACAGTTTTCTATCTGAGAAAGGCACCCATTCTAGCTTTAGAAGTATTAATTTTTTTTCTCAAGCTATGTGCTCAAATGCCACTACAGAACATTTACCACTTCCTCAAAATGCAAGGAAGCAGACAGTTAAGAGAAAAAAAAAGCACGAAGCAGCAGTTGTTTATCACAACTTTGCTTTAGCGAGGCCTGAGATTCTGCTTCTCATGACACAGAGTTGTGTCAACTGGGATATTTCTGGTAAAACTGAAAGCAAGAAAAGCCGGTATCAGCCCCTGGGGACTGTGGGTAGGTGGTGGAAGGAGCTTAGGTGCCATCCTCAAGTGACAGATGGGTGAACCTTTCATCTGAGAAAGAGGAGGAGAAATGTTGGCAAATCAAACCTCAACCTTGGACTGGTTGTGAAGCCGTTGTAAGGGAGACACAAGAGACAAGCACAAAAAGAGGAATACTGAGCAGACAACAAGAAGGGCACGGATTGTAACACACTGGCTACTTCACTGGCTACTCACTCAAACCGGAAGCAAAATGTCCCTCAAATTGCCAAAGAACTGGGATTTCAACCTGAAAGCGGAGGCTGCAAAAATAGGTATTGTCTGGATTCAGATCTTTCTCTTGCCTTTGGGGTTCTTACACCTGAGTGCCCACCATTTGCATGTTGGTCTAAAACTCCCTCTTAAAGCCGGCCTGAGTTTTGGAGAAAATTTGCATTCAAGTTGATATATGAACTTAGGGTTTCCAAATGGTGAAAGGAGGCTCATTTTCATTTGGAAGTGAACTCCTTGATATGTAGGACTAGGTCACTTTGGATTGTCTTAGGCTATATAACACATACAAGATGGAGGTTTTCTATCAGAGCAAATTCACTTCCTTTTGATTTGGAAACTCATCCATATTTTTGAATGGCTTTCAATAGGAGCATAAACACTTGCTGTCTTTTGCCGTGCTCAGTTGGTGAGCAACTTCAATGGTGAGTGTCTTGTTTTGTGTGCCCATGGGCTCAAGGTGGACCTACCTGTAGCAAAAAAATTGATAAGGAGAACAAGATGGAAGTGTGTCGGCATTTTAAAGTACAGTAAAAGCAATTTTAAAGGAAGAGACTCAGAAGAGTTTTTTAGAAATATGTTTTTGATTAGTTACCTTAAGGGATAATTCTGGTATAGTCTACAATTTATATTCTTTCCCTGATGATGGTTCTATATTAGTTTAAATCTAGTATTTGTTGTTATGAAGTTCTTTATGTAGATTTTTTTCTATTATTAAATCATAGCAATTTAGAGTATAGCAATTGAGATGAAAGTATTTATTATATATAGAGAAATAATACATGTATATATATTAAGATAACTTCCTTGCTCTTAGACATAGATAAGTGTTAAGGTATTTCTAATAATGTGGAGGAGTTTTACTAGGAACGAAGCTTAGATCAGACCTCTAATGGTAGTTGTTGTGCCATAAAAAAATGATCTATTGAAAGATCACAAACGGAGAATGTTGATGAAGGTTTCAGAGAAGATTTGAAGGGAAAATGAGAATAATCAGAAAAGCCATTTATCTAGTGGTCAGGGAAAACTGATGTTCCCTAATCAGGTGGAGTCTTTGTGTTCTGAGTCTGATCAGAGAATAAGAAGGTACCTGCCTCTTACCTAAGCAAAAGCATTTTCTCTTAATCAGCAATCCCGATGTGCTTGGCTCATGTTCATTCTCTGTCATCAAAATTCATTTTCAAGGCAAAACCACCATGGCTCCATTTCTTTGACAATGTCCTGTTTCCTCTTACATAAGGTCATCCTGCCCCTTTTCAGTTTAAAAAGGGAAAATGGAGAAGACGAATAGTTGCTATTTTTCAGGCATATAGAAAATTATCACATTAGATTCTTAAGCCTGGGATTAGGTTGGGTGGATTTCACAATTTCTACTAGTTTCTCTTAAAATGTGGTTCCATGGATACTCTGATACAGAGTTACCTCCATTGCTGGTTAAAACGCACATATCTAGGCACCATCCTGATTTATGAAATCAGAAACTCTGAAAGAAGGCCCAGGATTCTACTTTTGAACCAGTTCTCACCCAATGAAGCTTTTCTCTGGGTACTGTGAGCTAAGGGCATAATCTCACAGTTGTCATCTAGCATACAGCCTAGTGCCTAGGACAGCAGGTCAGACAGTCACTATTTATTGCTGTATAAGGTTTATGAGAAGATGATGTCACTTACTATTACTTAATGAAAAAAATATAATGATTTGTTGTCCCCAAGGGACAGGACTGTAGCGAAATGTATTTTATGTGTGTCACATAAACTGGGATCCTTATGATGATCTGAGTCCTCTCGTAGGAAAGAGTCCCTGACTCATTCACAGGCTCCCAGGACTCCTCCCTTCATGCTGTGTCCAGGTGCAACAGTAGCAACTATCTTCAAAGAAGCCACCTGCATTTGAAATGCCTGTGGAACTGGGGGAAATCAACGGACCAGTGGCTTTTCCATCCTGGGTAGTGAGTTGTAGAACAGGGTTTCTCATTTCTCACCTGGTCACTACTGATATTTGGGGTTAGGTAATTCTTTGTTGAGGAGGAGAGGTTCCTGTGTATTAAAGGATATTCCACACTGTCTTTGGCCTTCATCCACTAGGGTTGGTAACACTTCTCTGCTACTCCTACTGTGACAGCCAAAATGTTCTCTAGGCATTGCCAAATGTCATCTAGAAATAAAGTGGAGGTAATATTTTTTTTTTAATTTAATTTTATTTTATTTGAGAACATACTGTACAGAGGGGTTACAATTACATGGGCAGGATAATGCATACATTTCTTACCAAGCATTGCAGCCTCCTCCTTTGTTTACCCTTCACCTCCCTTCCCAGCCTCCCCCCTCCCTCCCACCCAATCATACCCCCCCACGCCCCCCCCACCGACATTGTAAAGCTGGTTTTGACATGACATTTTGTACTTCTCATTGTTGCAACAGGTCCACCTGAATCCTTAAACGACTTGTTTGTCCCCATCTCCTCCACATGTTATACTGACATCAAATATAGTGAAAGCGGGGGTTACACTGTGGGGGAGGGACATACAAAGCAACAAAGAAATAATCTTATAAATGCGTTACAAACACATGCATGAAAGAAACAAAAACATTAAAATACATATTTGAGGGTTCGTTTTCCTAACATCACATTATCTGACTTTTTCCGCTTGACTCATACCTATACTAGATATTGCAAATAAGGGAAACCATGGGACCTATGTTTCTTTGCGCCTGGCTTACTTCACTTAATATAATTTTTTCCAAGCCTTTCCATTTCCTAACAAATGGGGCAATGTCATTCTTTCTGATGGAGGCATAGAATTCCATTGTGTATATATACCACATCTTCTTGATCCATTCATCTACTGAGGGGCATCTGGGTTGGTTCCATGTCTTAGCTATGGTAAATAATGCTGCAATAAACATAGTTGTGCTGGTAGCTTTAGTGTGGCCTTGTTTGTGATCATTTGGGTAAATGCCCAAAAATGGGATTGCTGGGTCATTGGGGAGCTCTATGTGGAGTCTTTTGAGGAACCTCCATACTGCTTTCCAAAGTGGTTGAACAAGTTTACATTCCCACCAACAATGAAGTAAGGTTCCTTTCTGTCCACATCCCCTCCAGCATCTGTTGTTGTTAGAGTTCTTGATTTTTGCTGTTCTAACTGGAGTGAGGTGATATCTCAATGTTGTTTTGATTTGCATTTCTTTTATGGCTAGGGATGTTGAACATTTCTTCATGTGTCTATTGGCCATCCTTCTTTCTTCTTCAGAGAAGCTTCTCTTTAAGTCTTTCGCCCACTTACTTATAAAGTGGAGGTAATATTTTCTCTACCTCAGAACTATTGGAATATATGATCACCAAAGGGGTACAATTATAAGGTCAACAATAGAACCTACATATCGCCTACCAATTTGCTTTCTAGCTTCATTTTTAGAAGGCTCTTATAAAGATATGACTTCAGAAGAATGCACTGTATCTTCAGAATAATACTGGGACAGGCATTTGCTGGGGAAATAGCAAGATGCTGACCCATAGTGTGGCCCAGGAAGAGGCCAGACTTTTCCTTGGTCAGCTATGCTTCCAGTTCCCCTACATCCTAAGTGCTAATCCAGGGCTGGAGTAAAAACCAAAGTCTCTGAGCATTGGGAGGTGGCGGGGGGGGGGGGGCATGAATCTGTGTTACATTTTCATTTCAGAGAAGACCCTACCCTTCGCTGGCAGGACTGCCCCAAAGACCACCACCATAAGCTTGGAGGGTCTTGTTGTAATCATGGAAGAACATGACCCTGCCTATCTTGCATCATAGAATACATGCTGGAAGGAAAAGGGAAAAGTAGAGACAACACTTTTGACTTGAGGTGGGACCAATCATGTACATTTCTTTGAATCTTTATCCTTTTTTAGTCTAGCCTCACGTGGTGTTCATCTGCAGTCACTCAAACACTTTACTCTTTTATGTATCTTTCTTTTGGGACTGAATAGTCATTCCTGGGGGTAGGTTCTGGGAATATCATCTTTTATCCCTGCAGCCTAGCACATCCAGTGTCTTACATGGGGGTATTCTATTGAGAGGATATTGACATCCAAGAAAAGCCCCTCTACTCTGTGGTCTGTGAATGTTTACCTGGAGCCCTATTGGATGGATTTTAAGACCATTTACATTGAATCAAATCAAGCACATCTTCTTTTCTCAGTTCTCTTAAATCAAATAGGGGAGAACAGGGCCTGGTAAGCATATAGTTATGAGGTACATAAGGAAAGTGACAATGGAATGGTGGTTGTTTTTAACCTTTTCCTCCTTGAAATTTAATACTGTAGGGAACAAAACTTTATTTGTTATTGTACTCATCTGGTAAAGTGAATGAAATCAAAGTGGGATTTTTCTCACTTGATTTCTCAGTTGATATCAATTGAATCATTGTTTAACTGACCTGGGTCTATTTTTGCCTTGTAGAAAATCACAGTAAAAGAAATAAAAATATTTGTTACTTAAACTTCTATAAAAAGACTTATTTGTAAAACCACAAGGACTTGCACAGTATAGCTTATTCTTTTTGTTCAAAGAAACCAGACTTGAAATTATAGTTTAAAATACACTCATAAATTCATACACATAGAACTGAATATTTTTTTAAAAATATTCAGGAGATGGTGGCTTAATTCTATAATACTAACTACTCAGAAGACTCAGATCTGGGAGATTGTGCTTCACAGTCAATGAGGGGAGAAAAGTGTACTAGACTCCCTCTTCAAAATAACCAGCAGAAGGCAGGGCTATAGGTATGGCACAAGTGATAGAGCACCAGCTGAACAACTCCACTACTACCAAAAAAGTACAATGAATTATTTTGAAATAGGTATACAATGTGAACAGGCACCACAAACACAACAAAAATAACACATGAACAATACACATATGAAAATATACTTAGTATAAATGAATATATACTTAATAATAGAATACAAATGAAAAGCATGATGATATACTTGCTCATACCAAATTGTTTGCAATAAACAAACCTGACAATTCCATATTTGTCTGGAATGTGGAGCATTGAGATCT